AATGCTGTAAAACTACCTTGGTGGCCCTTTGAAAACCAAGGGAGAAAGTGATAAGACTTTAGTCACTGCTGTTGGAAGACTCTGAGACTGGGGAAGTCTTGAGAGCATCTCTACCACTCTGTCCATCATGCCTGGTGGATGGTGTTAGAGATCCTGAAGCACATACCAACTTGAAATAATTTTTCAGTGACTTTTGCCGATGGAGTTGGCAGCTTCAGTGTCTCTAGCCAACTGATTGATTAGGCAGTGGCTCCAGACGTTGTGGCACATAGCTTATCTAACACCTTTATTTTCTCATAAGCTGCGTCACTGACTTTGCCTGCTTGGGCTTAGAGCCCAGAAAACCATCACTGTGTTTTGGAGGCATAATTTCAATACAAAACCTGATTTTAAAAGGCAGACAATGGAAATATAAAATGAATACATGGGAGCTCTTTACAATGGTAAGGTGAATGCGACCAGTGAAGTGCCTACTATGATACCAGTTGCTTCACAAATTTGCATCCAGTGCATCTCATTTTTTTTCTCTACTGTGCATAATGTGTGTAGTTGCCAATGAAAAATTGAAAATAAATTTATTAATAAAATCATGTGAGTACTTGAAGTTTTGAAGGCTAAACTTGTGAAAGTTGAAGATTGACTATTATTTGCATGTAACATATAAATGTCCATATATGTACATATGTGGACATGTGTATTATGAAAGTAATTACATTTGCTATGTATGAAATGCTATTGAATTTTCTTTTTTTTGATGTGTAAAATATTAGTAGAACACATGTATATATATTACTTTTTTGTTGACATTCAGGATTAAATATCTCTTTCTCACTACCTTATTCATTCCTGCTCATGGTGAAATGGGAAATGCATGAAATGACAGTGCATAAATGGAATAGAGATAGTTACAAATGATGAGACTTTATCTGTTTTGACTCTTCTGACTTGCTTTACTTTTAATTATTATTTTTTTTTTGGCTAGGCAGTGGGATTAAGTGACTTGCCCAGGGTCACATAGCTAGTAAGTGTTATATGTCTGAGGCCGGATTTGAACTCAGGACCTCCTGACTCCAGGGCCGGTGCTCTATCCACTGTGCTACCTAGGTGCCCCCCTGAATTATTTCATTTAAAAAAGTTTGCCAAAAGGGTGAAACTACCACCAAGGAAGAGGAAATTAAAACAACAATTAGGAATTATTTTGCCCAACTATATGCCAATAAATTTGACAATCTTAGTGAAATGGATATATATGTACAAAAATATATTGCCCAGATTAACTGAAGAGGAAGTAAAATACTTAAATAACCCCATCTCAGAAAAAGAAATTGAACAAGTCATTGATGAACTCCCTAGGAAAAAATCTCCAGGGCCAGATGGATTTACATGCGAATTCTATCAAACACTTAAAGAACAATTAATTCCAATACTATATAAACTATTTGGTAAAATAGGTAAAGAAGGAATCTTACCAAATTCTTTTTATGATACAAATATAGTGCTGATACCTAAACCAGGAAGAGTCAAAACAGAGAAAGAAAATTATAGACCAATTTCTCTAATGAATATAGATGCAAAAATATTAAACAAAATATTAGCAAATAAATTACGGCAACTTATCACACAGATAATACACTATGACCAGGTAGGATTTATACCAGGAATGCAAGGTTGGTTCAGTATAAGGAAAACTATCAGCATAATCCATCATATCAACACGAAAACTAACAGAAACCACATGATCATCTCAATAGATGCAGAAAAAGCTTTTGACAAAATATAACACCCATTCCTATTAAAAACACTAGAGAGCATAGGTATAAATGGAGTCTTCCTTAAAATAATAAATAGCATCTATCTAAAACCTTCAGCAAGCATAATATGTAATGGGGACAAGCTAGAAGCATTTCCAATAAGATTGGGGGTGAAACAAGGATGTCCATTATCACCACTGTTATTCAATATTGTACTGGAAACGTTAGCTTTAGCAATAAGAGAAGAAAAAGACATTGAAGGCACTAGAATAGGCAAAGAAGAAACAAAGCTATCACTCTTTGTAGATGACATGATGTTATACTTAGAGACTCCCAGAGAGTCAAGCAAAAAACTACTTGAAATAATAAACAACTTTAGCAAAGTTGCAGGCTATAAAATAAATCCACATAAATCATTGGCATTTCTATATATTACCAACAAAGCCCAACAGCAAGAGATAGAAAGAGAAATTCCATTTAAACTTACTGCAGACATTATAAAATATTTAGGAGTCTACCTCCCAAAACAAACCCAGGAACTCTATGAACACAATTATAAAACACTTTTCACGCAAATAAAATCAGATCTAAATACTTGGAAAAACATCAGTTGCTCATGGGTAGGCTGAGCTAATATAATAAAAATGACAATTCTACCTAAGCTAATTTACTTATTCAGTGCCATACCAATAAAACTACCAAAAATTATTTTATAGAGTTAGAAAAAATAATAACAAGATTCATTTGGAAGAACAAAAGGTCCAGAATATCAAGAGAAATAATGAAAAGAAATGCAGGGGAAGGTGGCCTAGCCATTCCAGATCTTAAATTGTATTATAAAGCAGCAATCATCAAAACTGCTTGGTACTGACTAAGAAATAGAGTGGTGGATCAGTGGAATAGGTTAAGAATGCAAGACAACAGTAGTCAATGACTATAGTAATCTATTATTTGATAAAACCAAAGACCCCAGCTTTTGGAATAAGAACCCACTCTTTGAAAAAAACTGCTGGGAAAACTGGAAAAGAGTATGGCAGAAACTAGGCATAGACCAAAATCTCACACCATATACCAAAATAAAGTCAAAATGGGTACATGATTTAGATATAAAGGCTGATACTATAAGCCAACTGAGAGAGCAAGGAATAGTTTACCTGTCAGATCTATGGAGAACAGAATTCATGACCAAACAGGAGATAAAGAAGATTACAAAAAGCAAAATAGATAATTTTGATTACATTAAATTGAAAAGTTTTTTGCACAAACAAAGCCAATGCAACTAAGATTAGAAGGAAGGTAGAAAATTGGGAAAGAATTTTTACAACCAGTCTCTCTGATAAGGGCCTCATTTCTAAAATATATAGAGAATTAAGTCAAATTTATAAGAATGCAAGCCATTCCCCAATTGATAAGTGGTCAAAGGATATGAACAGACAGTTCTCAGATGAAGAAATTAAAGCCATCTATAGTCATATGAAAAAATGCTCTAAATCACTATTGGTTAGAGAAATGCAAGTCAAAACAACTCTGAGGTACCACATCACACCTATCAGAATGGCCAACATGACAAAACAGGAAAATGATAAATGTTGGAGAGGATGTGGTAAAATTGGAACACTAATGCATTGTTTGGTGGAGTTGTGAAATGATCCAACCATTTTGGAGAGCAATTTGGAACTACGCCCAAAGGGCTATGAAAATGTGCATACCCTTTGACCCAGCAATAGCACTTCTAGGGCTATATCCCAAAGAGATTACACAAATGGGAAAAGAACCTACATGTACAAAAATATTCATAGCAGCTCTTTTTGTGGTGGCAAAGAATTGGAAATTGAGAGGATGCCCATCAATTGGGGAATGGCTGAGCAAGTTGTGGTATATGAATGTGATGGAATACTATTGTGCTATAAGAAATGATGAACAGACTGACTTCAGAAAAACCTGGAAACACTTGTATGGTTTGATGCTGAGTGAAGTGAGCAGAACCAAGAGAACGTTGTGCACAATAACAGCCATGTTGCGTGCAATACAAGGATCTAAGACATCTCCAGAGGCCTTGTGGTGGAAAATGCTATCCACACTCAAACAAAGAACTATGGAAGCCGAATTGTTATTTTTTTTTTCTCTTCTGTTGAGTTTTGTTTCCTCTTTCTGATGGTTCCTCCTATTGGTTTTAATTTCTACTTACAACATCACTAATGTGAAAATATGTTTAATATGAATGTAAATGTATAGCCTCTATCAGATTGTGCGCCATCTTGGGGAAGGGTAGTGGGGTGGAAGGGGGAGAAAAATTTTAAACTCAAAAGCATATGGAAGTGATTATTGATAAATCAAAATAAATTAATAAAAATTTAAAAAAATAAATACTCGTGAAAAAAAAGTTTGCCAAATCCTAATACTTCATTGTAACAAATTACTCCCTTAATTTAACTTTTAAAATTTTTGAAAAATATTTGAAGACAATTTATAGTTAAAGAATTGAGTTTTTCAAGCAATCCTATGTTCTGTAGAGTATTCTAGGGTCAGTCAGTTGCTGTACTATGTTGGAGAGAAGCTGTCTAATTAGTTATTCTTAAATTTTTTTTCCTCCACTGCCACAAGAGAGCTTTGGAGACATTTTTGTGTTCTTTATTTTTTTTCTCCACTTTGAAAAATAAGGACCCTCTTTCTTACAGTTAAGTGTCTCTTCTGAATAACTCTTAGGACTATTTTTAATGTCATGATGAATCTTAAAATTGCAGGAGTAAATGTAGAGATAGGTTCCAAGAGTTGATGGAGCTGAATTCACTCCATTTATATACATTTTGTGACTTACTGCCACCCCAGCCACGTAACTCTGCAGGACGATAGAGCTCTAGACTCTAGAACCCTTCTCCAGATATCATTGTCATCTTGCTGGGGATCCTAATAGCAAGTTTCAGGAATATTGCCCTAAGACCTTCCTTTTTGGAAAGTACACTTGGTTAAATTGTAAGAAATTATAGAAAATTCCTCTGGAATGTATGTTTTAGATTTCTGGAGAAATTGGTTATGATAGCTCATAACTAATTGCTCGTTACTTCCATATAACTTTTGTTAATCATCTTTGCTTAAATAATTAAGTTAAGATGTGAAAGACCAAATATTTTTGATTCAGTTAACTGCATATGCCTTCTTAAGAACACTTAAAAAATTTTAGGTGTTAAAATAAGTTTAAAATGTATATGTTTAAAAAGTTTTTTTAAAAAACTTGACTTTTTCCTGTAGGATCCTGGTGACTGGGTGAAAATTCACCACTTGGAGTACATGGATGGAGGAATACTGGACCCAGATGATATATTGGCAGATGTTGTTGAAGACAAAGATAAGGTAGATGGCTATATTAAAATTATTCTTCTTAAAAGCTATACTTTTTTGAGAAATTGAAATGCTTTTAATAAATTTTTCATCAGTTATTATTTTTATCTGTTCAGGGTCACCTGGACATCCCATAAATCAAATTTTTCTTCAGATGTTTGGAGAATCATTGGTAAAGCTTGGAATTCAGTAATGATGTTCTGATTATTGGATCCATGCTGAAGTATCCCTTTAGTGCCTTGATAATAGAATGTCAGAAGCAGCAGTAGCTGTCCCAAATATCTGTGAATGGTATGGTCATTATAATCATTGTTGTCCCTGTCAGCTATGTTTTTGGCCATCCTACTAAATATCTGTTCAAATTTAGAGAATTTGAAATTTGAGCATAGTTTGTACCATGCTATAGTATAAAGCATGTCATAATGGAGGGGGAGTGTCTAAGAAGGGCTTCCTTCAACGTTCATTTTTAAGGTTGCTAGTTCAAATAGTTGTTGACCAAAGGCATAATTCTGTTTAATATATTATTTTTCTGAAGGATCTGAGATAATTAAGTAACCTCCAAACCTTATGTCTCATGAATTTTAGCTTTTGGAAATAAAATTGCACAGTACATTGTAATGATATGACAAAATGAGGGATATTGACAACAAGTAATACAGAGTTAGGAAAGATGAATGAGAAAAGAGAGTCAGCAATGGAGGTGAGCTAGAGTCAACCAAGAATCATTTATTAAACACCTTCCTTGTGTCCCTGTCTAGACATATCTGACAGATAAGTTCTACTAATCATTGTCCATTACTATCTTCAAAGTCAAAGGTAGAGACAGGAAATGAACCTGTGATTTCCTTGGTGTGAGAAGTTCCTAAGGAAGAATTTTGACTGTTTAGAGACCAGTGCCTGCTTCTGAGGCTTCTTGTACTTTGTATCTTTTAATACATTTTGTGCTTGTTTGAAAGGGCCCATGTTTTGTTTTTAATTAAGTAATTTTTATGTGGCATCATGGAATACTAAAAGGATCAATGGATATAGTTAGACAACCTAGGTTCATATCCTGGCTCTGTTGCTTTGTGACACATGTGACATGTGGCAAGTTACTTTATCTTTCTTGGTCTCAGTTTCCCTATTTGTACAATAAAAATAATTTAGACTAGCTGCTTTATAAGGTCTCTTGTTTAAATCCTACCATCCCTTATTTTTATTTTCCTTTCAACTAGACTTTAAGCCCTTGGAAGACACAGACACAAAGGAGGTGTTTAATAAATGATTCTTGGTTGACTCCAGCTCACCTTCCTTGTTGACTCTTCCTACTTTTCTTATGAGTCTTTTCCCTGTCCTGAATTTCTATGTTACTCATTGTTAATATCCGTTATTTTGTCATGAAATCACAGTCTACTGTGTATTTTTGTTTAACTTTGTGTTTGTCTTGTCTCCCCCACAATTGGTTGTTCCTGGAAGATAAGGACTTTCTGTTACATATATTTTGTGTTACCCTAAGTACCTAGTCTTGTGTTTTATACATAGTGAGTACTTAGTAAATACAGGAGTGAATGGATGATTTTGGGCCTTCCCTTTTTTATTCATTCATACAGTCACTTTTTTCACCTGCCAATGGATTTTGGATATTCTTTGCCATTCAGCTGGCCACATGGCTTCCTTACTATTCTCCCCAGAAAGGTTTTTCCTTTTGCCTTAATTTAATTTGCCCTCTTTTTCTTTAATAAGACTTCTTGTCTTCTTTATTTCTTAGCTATCATGAATTAGTTTTTTCTCTCAGCAGAAATCTCACTGTTGATCAAAATTGTGAGATTATTAATTTAAAGGGATAAGAGAAGTGTATTTGAATTCACCATCTTTACTTATAGACAGCTCTCCATTCCCGAATGAAATTGTTATCAAGACAGAGCTAGAGCAATCATTTGTTGGTATAGTACAATTTCTTGTAGAGTGGGTTTTTTTTTAACTTGCACAGCTAAGCTTTTAACTATAGGCTATCTATTTTAACAAAGATAATAAGTTTATAAAGAGCCATTGTTTTAATAGGATCTCACCTACCCCACTAAATGAGATTCACAAGTTGAAATACTGACATAGAAATCCTACCACCCTTGTATAACTTTGGGCCTTCTTAAGATTACTCTTCAGTTGCAAAGTATAACTGTACCTGGGGTTGTTTTCAAAAGTTAGAGTTGATGGTAGCAACTCTATCTCTGCTTGCTTTTTGAATTTAGGATGAATATTTTTTGCTGCTTTCAAATTGGTAGAAAATATCAGATTTTTTTACATATTTTATCAGATCTTCTACATTTTCCATAAGGCTACCTTTTCATTTTAACAAGAGGTTTCTGTCAGATAATTTGCCTTAGTTAATAACAATAAAAGTGACATTTATATAACGTTTTAATGTTTGCAAAGCCATTTTATATACATTATCTCATTTGATCATCACAAGAATTTATTGAGGCAGATTATAGGTCAAAATATGGCATATGCAACAAAAGACAGCGTGGTATATAGTAGACAGAACGCTGGACTTGGATCCAGGAAGACCTGGTTTTGAATCCTCATTTTATGAATGAAGAAAAGAAATTTAGGTGGTATTCAAACCCATGTCTTCCTTACTCCAAATCCAGTGCTTTATCCACTCTATATCATACTGACTTTTAGTATATATTTCATGTGTTTTGTCCTATATTCTGTCTTAATAAATGCTTGTAAGACTTGATGAGATGATGGATCCTTTTAAGACTAATGCAGACATAAAGTTGAATAGGATATGTCTCTGAACTTGAATTTTTTTTAGAATGCAAGTTAAAAAGCCTCCTTGGTTGTATTTCTTTCCAAAGATGTGAGATAATGAAGAGGCAAGGAGCAAGCAGATAGGGCTGAAAGTCTGACCAGTGATGAGAAATGAAACTGGAAGAGATGAGATGTGACTTGTTACATTGTTACATTCCTTCTATCTTTGTTTCATTGTATTCAAACTTTGCCTATCCATGGCCCTCCAAAACCTGGCAAGGATTTTAGAAAACCTTAGGATCTTCAATTGAAGGAAGGAAAAGAAAATGTGAAAAGCAATGAAACAACTTGTGGAAGTGACCCTGGGTCAGATTCCCGGGCGTGCCTGGACTTCCTGCCTTGTGCCCTTCTCCCTTTCCCTAGCATCGCTGACATTGCCTAAATGTTTCCATTTGAGTTTTTTTTTATATTTCTCTATAGCTATACCCATTAGAAATTAATTTAAGGTAAGAAACAACCTTTCAGAAAAGTTACAGAACCATTAAAGTGTTATCAGTAATTTACACAATAATATAAATTAGTTTAAACAGATTGCTTTAATCCTAACATATAGCTAAGCCATTTCCTACATTGAGGAAATAAAAGTTTTGACTGGAAAGGTGGATCATTTTGGAATAGCTTGTGGTGAGGCTAAGGCTGCCCTGGTAAGGATTAGTTGACCAAATATAGACGTTTATTAAGTGCTTACTATATTCCAGGCACTGTGTTAGACTCTGGTAACAGAAATACAAAGAATAAAACAGTTCTTACTCTTAAGAGATTGTATTCTAATGGGGGAGATGACAAGGACGTATATAATTGAATGCAAAATGAATATAATGACAATAAATACAAAGTAAAATACAGTGTAGTTTGGGAGGGCAGATACTAGCTCTTAGGGGCTTTTGGAAGAGATTTGTGTGGAAAGTTGTGTGTTTCAACTGTCTTGAGAGGAATAGAGAGATTCTGTGAGGCAGAAGCAAAGAGGGAGTGTGTCCCAAGTAATTATGAGGGAAGAGTCAATGCAAAGGCTTCAATAGGGAGATGGAGTATTGTGTGTGAGGAAGTGAGAGAAGGACAGTTTGTCTGGATTTTGGATTGGGGAAGGAGGAGTAATGCTCACTGAGGCTAGACAGATATACCGTAGCCAGGTTGTTAAGGGTTTTAAGAGCTAAACAGACAAGTTTCTTTTTAATGCAATGTCACTTGCATTTGAGTAGGGAAGTAACACAACCACATCTGTGATTAAGAAAATACCTTTGGCAACTATATATAAGATAGAGCAGAGGTGGGGAAAGAGTTGAGGCAGGGAGACTGAATATGAGACTCTTAAAATAATTTAGGCAAAAAGGTGATGAGGTACTGAAATAAAGTGGTAGCTATGTGACTGATAAGAGATCAGATTGAGCAATGCTGTGGAGGTAGAAACAGCAAGATTTGGTAGCTGGCTGTATACACATACATATACACATACATGCATACACACATATATACATACATATATACACATATACATATACATGCAGTACACACATGCATGTGTACACGTACATGCACTCACACCACATATATCTGATTGTGTCATCAGGGTTACAAATCTGAGAGGCTGGAAGAATGGTGGTGCCTTTGGCAGAAGTAGGGAATTTTGTAAGAGGGATTGGTTTGAAGAAGATATAATTAGTTCTGTTTTGGACATGTTGAATTTGTGATGTTTCTGGTATCTCCAGCTTGAAATGTCCAATAGGAGGCTGGTAACATGGGACTAAAGCTCAGGAGACAGACTGGAGTTGTTTAGATAGCTCTAAAGACCATCTGCAGAGAGATGATAATTAAACCCATGGCAGTTGATAAAATCCCCAAGAGAAACATTAGAGAGAGAAGAAAAGTGGTTCTTGGAGGAGCCTTGGGGATCTAGGTCATGTAGTGGTCCAAGTGTAAAAAAGATTCAAGCACAAATCTGGCCTCAGACACTAGATGTGTGACCCTAGGCAAGTCACTTAACTTCTGCCAACCCTAGTTTCCTCAGCTGTAAAATGAGAATAATAATAGCACAACTTCTCAGGGTTGTTGTAAGGATTAAATGAGTTGTTTTTAAAGTGCTTTGCAAACCTTAAAACACTATCTAAATACTAGCTATTATCCTTATTGTAATTATTATTATTATTATTATTATCGTCACTCATAATTGGTGAGTGTGATGTAGATGATCAATTAGCAAGAGAGACTGAGAAGAAGCC